CCTGAGCCTTGCAGATTCGTGCATTCACCTCATCTGTCACACTACAGTCAGAACTAATACAACTTCCAAGATACGTAAAACGCTCCACAACTTCCAGTGCCTCTCCCTGGATCGTAAGTGGCGTGTTCAGTGACTGCACGTCCACAAGCATGACCTTACACTTTGTGGGTGCAAAGTGCAAACCAAAGGACGGGATGACTTTGGTCAGTTCATCCAAGAATACTTGCGCCTTCTCCTCCTCTTCGAACATGAGAACGATGTCGTCTGCATATTCCAGATAGACAAGGTTTTCTTCGCAGGCTATTTGAACACCAGGGTTTTGAAGACACTCCAGCGTTCGTCTCATTATTTCATCGATCACAAAGTTAAAAGGGAATGGAGAGAGTGGGCATCCCTGACGGACACCGCTTTGTGTGCGGAAGCTTTTGGAGAGCTCTCCGTACACTCTCACACGTCCGGAAGCTATCACAATACCGAGTCAATGTGCCCTGAAACTAACTACCGAAATGGAACACGGCGTAAAAGTATTGTCCTCCATCGCTTAAAGCGCTCGTAGTCATTCGATTTGTCTGATATCACATGTTTAAATATGAACATTAGATATCCTACTACAGTTGTCCCGCTGGGGCTTACCTTGCTGGGTGGGCAGTTGTCACCAGGGTATACCAGCTCAACCAAGCGAGAACCGAGTTCTTGACGGAGTTGGGTTATGTAGTTCCTCATGGTATCTGATTCGCTTTGGTTTTTCGGTTTCGCATACAGGCTATTCAATTCCCGCGGGAATCCCGGATCACCAGGAATATCAAACCGAGCGAGTGCCAGTGAAGCGAGTTCCTTGGTTGCCACAATTTTGTTCGGACACTTGGATAAAAAATACGATGGAAAGTTCCTTAACAAACAAACGTGATTTCTGCCAGTAACACAACTAACATTATCACTACTTGAACCTTTAAGCTCTAAGACAATTCAGAGATAAGCTTCTGTAAGAATGCAGAACCTTTAACAAGCTACGACTCAGGCGAGCATCAGTAGAGTTCTTAAGGCTTGTTTGTCATCCAAGCAACGAACTAACAAGTTTGAGATGATAAAACGCGGTGTTCAAAGTCTCAGTCATGTGCGACCCGATTAAGCTGTACAAATGTCACAAGAACGATCTCTTTCGGAATGAGGTCAACTCGAAATAGACATAAGTTTGTATCAAGACCGTTGCTGAAAAAGCTTTTTATCGAAAGAAATGAACAGACTACAGAGGTATAATTGCAGCTCGTCTTTCAGGATGAAATCCATGTGATCCTTCCTCTGCTTGGTTGGAGCCACTGCCAGACATGACTGCCAACAGATGTCAATAGTGTTCGACTTGCCAGTTTATTTCCAGACTAACCAACTTAAAACTTAGGAATGGACGCACCCAGGACATCGAAACTCAAGCTCGACATGTTATCAGCTGGGCTACCAACAAAATGTGTAGTTCTACTGCACTTTGAATTTTCAAATGCTGTGCTTGAGTAGCCTGGCAGTATCTCAACATCAGCTAAACGTTTGCTTGAAAACCGCGTACCAGGCTACAATGGAGAATACTGCAATAATTCAGTATGAATGATACTGATCGCTCTGCACTGAAGACCGTTGTCCAGATACGGGAATCCAGGGGTTTCTTTGGGTTCCGTGCTAACTATCCACAGGAAACGTGTCTAGCAGCTGAAAGACGAGGTTATGGGCCACACGTGAGGTTTTTGATAAACAGCACCCACTACACCAAACAAGTTCACAGAAAATAGCGAATGAACAGTAGCTAACCGACTTGCAAACAGTGGGGAACATAGTTCGAAGATAACTGTTATCTGATCTTCTATGTGATCTGAATAATTCGGACAAGTTAAGGAATCGCCAAAGGTGAGGTCCTGTTGATCAGTTGAAACAATATGAATACTAGTAAGTAACCGGATGGTCCACATAAATAATTGTCGGTCACACCAATTCATGGATTTGGGGTTTTAAAGGAGTATTACCATGGGTCTTGAACATCTACACCATCGTCCTAACAATCAATACCACAATTTTTACCAATTGATCAAAAGCCAATAACTGATTTTTACGTTCGTTGTTGTCAAAGAAGACAGGACGGATGAACATTGAGTGACCCAATAAATGTACAGTGGTTCGGCTGCGGCCCCTGGGGTTATCCGAGACCAGATTTCTCACTCTTCCTCGAACTTTACCCTTTTTTGGGTGGAAACCCGCCATATAGCCCGCCATATTTGATTCTCTGTATGGACCAAACCTACCAGAACCGTATGTCAATGTTTAACACCTGACTCACAGCCGACTTCGCTTCCCATGGGGAGCATAAAAACTTCAGACGCAGATGTCACAAATCACGAATCCACTAATCCTAATTTAGGAAAGTACAAGGCACTTCTGATATCGTTGCTCGCCGGGGTGAAAACATGGCTCAGAACAGCTCAACTCGTATTACTTCAAACAATATATTCACCGACGTGGTGAAGCGGACCGCTTGTACCTTTCCGGGCGTCACGCTTCTATCCTGGCGCGCAGCTACCGTGAAACTGGAAGGTAAAAGGCTTAAGGTACTGCCACGTTATCCAGCTAATCGAAAGGTCAGGGTCAGGTTTGGACCATAGACGTCTCGGTCAGTAGTTTCGCGCCTCAATCGCCGAGCTTTTTCGAGCTAACGAACAAAGTATACCGTGCCTGACAGAGCCGGAAACTGTAAACTAATTTCCATATTCAAAAATTGATCCAATGTTGCGTCCTTAGTGGGGTTCACTTTGATGCACAAGTGAGAGTGTGTTTATACCTCCGTCTTGGATTTCCGAATACCAGCACTATTTAAGGTCAATAGAAAAAACATCAAAACTGAACACTTACAAAAGAATCGAATAAACTTCAATTGACTGCTTCCAGATTGTTCACTAAGTGGCCAGATTACTGTTTCTCCTAACCAGTAGGCTCGTCGATGCGACTCGCCCACAATTCATCCGGTAACAAGCCACAATTATGATGATTCTGTGCGGAAGTTTGTAAGGTCCACTGTTCATACTATGTATGGAGTGGTGAACCAAGTATACAGTTAGCATAACACTTAGCCCATATTCTAGTTTAATGTACAGCGGGGTTGCTGAAGATAGTGGAGTAAATCAAACCAAATCAAGCTATCGATGGAAGAGGGAACACTGCCAAACCATACCTTCTGAATCTTCTTCAGGCAGTCTAAAGTGTAGAGGACGAGGTACACCAGAACACGATCGGCTTCACTCTGAAACAAAAACGACAGCAGGATGCACTGTCAGTGAGAATTCCATAGCGACCCACATCTGTAAATTAGAGTGCAAACCGTCATATGAGCATGCCGATGACGATCGATCAGACAATCAGCTGAGTATATAGATTGCATAGCAAAGTAAAAATGAGCAACAGAACCACACAGCTCATACAAAGAAAAGAAACACGGCTAAGTGCTGCATGGCAATACGAAAGTGAAACGCCTGCTGAGCTCAGAACCCTATTCGAGTGTACAGGCAACGCGCAACAGTGAGTAGCAGTTGTGCATTTGTGCAACTAGATGCCATCCGGGCATTGTACCTTACGTTGGAAAATATCAGGAGTGATTTCGGGTCAGTAAGCCACACAGAAGCTATCCGACTGTTTTTCTATCGCCAAAGATGAAATGCTCAATTCTATGTAAATGTCGATCCAGAATGGAGGCATTCTCCTCTTGACAGTTATTGGATTTTGAGAACGATAGTACCCATCGCTGCTTCTATCCGTTGTCGGGACACGCATGTTCACGAATACGCAGTAGTTAAGCACGAGTTCCTTGTTCCTAAACTTTTTTGACAGCCTCACCATTTTTAAACACAGCTGTCTGTCCCCGCCCAGTAAGGTAATTTCTACAAGTGGATAGACAATTTTATCCGTTTCAACATTCCCCCGGTGGTTTTAGTGATCCAAACAATGTAACTTATCCTTAATTAATGAACCCTAAAGAAGACGCAACATACTACTGGTAAGGTTGCTGAAAACTCTTTGACAGCCCTCAGATAATCATAGAATAACTTCATTTTGAGATTCTAGTAAAATCCGGCAACTGCTCGAAATTTCATTCAATGACAGCCATCCTTGCTTGTGCTCAACATCAACAGATATGACACAACCGCACTTCTTTGCTCAGTTGGGCTTGAACTGACTTCATGGGAAGATGGATAACTGAAACCCGTAGTCATCCAGTTGCATAAGTTCCCATAACGACCGAAAAAGATCGTTACAACGCTCTGTCATGCCGTGAAAATCTAACAGACCTACGTCCAGTCGGAATAAACAGTCAAATGGAGGTCGAACGAGAATTGATAAATAGCTTTTAACCAACGCAATGGCGGTCGTTTTAAGGGAGGTAGCCGAGAAGTTGGAAAAGCAGTTCCCAAAAAATTTGGGTCTTGTATCAAATTTGTAAATTTCTACGAAAAATTTCACTGGGGAGGGGTCGCTCTAGAAGGGGAACATCCTGCAAATCGCAGACCTTCTGTATGAGCAGCTGCCAATCAGAAGACCAAACAGGATTGTAGCATTCTACGTCAAATGCTTGACGAGGATAAGGACGCTGTGCCTTTCCGTTCGGTTGTTAAAAACCAGCTAACAGCAGCTGACTAACGCACCCTGCCACCTGCTTGTGGTAAATCTGGCAAACTACGATAAACAGAGCTAGCCACATAAATGATGTAACTTTGTTTTACTGCCTCTAGCATTCAGCAACAAAATGGTGTAGTTCGAACGGAGTACCGGTCATTTCTGATTGGAAACGTACATGAAGCATGCAATTACGATTAGCTAGACAACACAAATAGATAACTCGGGTTAATGACACTGAAAACGACTATGGAGTTGTCCAAAACTTCGAATAACTTATGTACAAAAGCTCCGGAAACTTCGAGTTCGTTAAGACTCAGAAAAATGACGAAGTTGTTTCATGATGCTCAATGGAAATCAGATATGTTGAAGGGAACACAGTAGAAAGTAGGCTAAAAATTACACACTCTGCTCAAATTACCTTAGACTAATACGAAGAAATATCGATTCTACGGTCGTCTTCACGGAACAATGTATTCTCGCAGTCGTAATTTTCAAGCGATAAAAGTAGGATGCTGATCCTATTCACGCGTAGTCCCCAAAGTCACTTTTAGTGGATTCAAACCGGATTATGGCGGAAATAATTTCTTGGAGACATTAACGAGAATATTGACTGATGTCAGTTTTTTTCGCAGAATATGCTCTGCGCCGGTCTTGCCATTGACGAGTTCTGACGACAGTTTATTGAAATATGGGGCAACAACCATCTCAGGTTAGTTCAACGTGCACTCAGCGTTATTTCTGTTGGTTAAGAGCTGAGATCTATGAGCTACATGCAGGCCACAAATTTTTGGGTCTAAACTACCTGTAAAATTCAAATGCACGTTTGAGACCATTCGAAGATGTGGCGTCCCTGTGAAGAAGGCGGAAGTGGTTCAAGCAAAGCTCAACAAAACAGCTTCAAGTACTTGAATTCAAATTGGTTGACAAGGACAATAGTTCTCCTTCTTCAAAGTCCCTCGAAACATTCAACTCATTGGCGAATTGTCGTGTGGACTACGGACTTTAGACACAATTTAATATTTCTGTGCCTCTTTGGCAGTAAATATTGGTGGCAGTCACCTGAGCGATGATCCCGTTGCTTTTAGTGTTTTGCATATTCGGCAGCATATGAGATGTTGCGGAAAAAAGTCGGTGATATTCATTGCATCCACCCTTGAAGGCAAGCCCTCTGCGGGATGTAATACCGATTAAATACAGTATTCCGAAGTATTAAATATCTTTGCAATTTCCGTTCTCACGCAATTATTTACGAACTGAATACCATGGATATTCGAACCCCATCCCGATTTTCTTTAAGGCAGAACAAGGAGAAATGGGACAAGAAGACCGAGTGACCGTACATCAAAAAGCGATATCGGTTGAGATGTCTATTCCAACTGCACACGATTGTCTTCCCATCTAAAGGTCAGCTAAAAATGCACATCTTTTGCAATTATCAGATGGCACGTCTAAACCAAATTAGGACCGCTTTTCTTGAGGTTTAATAAGTAGACCCAATCCCCAAGTTTTTACGAACCCTATGTTCTATTTGAACACACTCGCGAAAGACATTAAACTGGAGTCGATTTGGTTTTAACGGGGGACTTCACTGAATCCCAGCGAAATCTACTGCTTACTCCAGCTGAATGTGCGGCACAAAGGCCTCCCCATGTTTCAATTTATATGGTATTCGATACATCGCGGTAGACGTATACAAATTTTCTCGTCGCGGGCATTCGAAGAGTCCTCACCAACCTCATTAGTAGTGTTCTCTAGAGGAAACATACTGCGATATGTAGAATATCGAACAGGATGTGGTCCGTGTGAAGCGCATACAGTAAACGAGATTAGGCTGCATTGAGTTGAGTCTTCCGTTAACACCGAGTCAATCTGCAAATAAGTGTATTTCGCGAATTGAATGTACGTAGTTTTCTCTGAACAAAGAGTGTGGCCTCGGCTGTTTTATTAGGTATAGGAAATTGGATAGGGTTGCCCACCGGTTCGAAAATCCAGTGATCTTCAGTTCGTTTCAGTCCTTCCACAGTTGGTATATACTTCCTTATCCCCTTTCTTCTTGTTATATCTGTGATGAATAAAAACACAAAATCTTCGCATATGTGGGACAGTATGTTTCAGCCAGACCTAGATGGGGGCTCAATAGGCTGCCACGGTGTGCAAATCGGACGCTCGATCGTGACTGAGAGAAGAGGTCATATTATTGGGATAGAGGAAACAGGAGTCGAACTAGAATGAAGACTGAGGAACAAATAAAGTTACCTCCAAATTTCGCGTATGGAGTCATTTGAAATTTCAAGCGGGTTAGTGTTCAGCAGCACGAATAACCCAAATAGTTCTTGAGGTGCATTTCATTTCTTTTAGCCACAATTAGTTTGCAGGCTCCCATAAGCTTCTATGAAACCATTTTCTAGCCTGATTGACACCTGAATCCAATCATCATCATCATCGACAGCATGACATCAGTGTTCA